TAAATGGTCATGGTGTACTTAAATTTTCACCCACAGAAAGCTGGGGAGGAGAAAAGACTGGAGGCCAGGGCTGAAGCTGTGCTGGGACAGCAGCACCACATCAATGGGGGCACATCTGGGTAACCTGAGCATGGCACAGGGCAGCCCCAGAGACATCTAGTGGGATTCCTGCCTTCCACCAGTAATTCTGGTTGCAATCAGAGCTGGTAATTGCCTAAAGAACCTTTGTATGCATTGCTGTGCAATGCTGCTTCAGCAGGGAGGCAAAGCGCAGCCTTGTCCCTCAGACACTGCTGTCTGTGGCTGAGCTCACTGAGACTGCTCTGAACATCTACATGGTCTGAAGGATGTCCTTCACACTGCAAGGAAATAAAGAGCCACTTGAATTTTTTCAAAGTGAGAACTGCATTTGCAAATGGGAAGAAAACAATGAGAACCAGATGACATCTTGCTGTGACTCCAAACTTTGTCCAAGACACACATGGGGAAAACAGACCCCCAGAGTTCAATGTAGTGACTTGCCAAATGCTACAGATTTCACAAGAAATTAATCTTTGTGAATGACCTCCAGGGCTAAGAAAAGATGTCACTTGAACTTGATCATTGTTGCTCATAAATTCTCACCTAAGTTTTAATTTTCATCTGCAAGGTATTAGTGCAGGTGCCAGGTGAATGTGGTATCTCCTTTGTCCAAGCAGCTCACACCCGTGCCACTGCTGTTCTCACCAGGGGCCAGCTCACAGAGAAGTCCTAATTCCTGCAGCTTTCTGCTGCTCCTGATTGCTCTTCCCTGGGCTCAGGCAGCAAAAGACCTATCTGGGAGACAGGGTCTGAGCTCAGGTCTGTGCTGCCTGTAGGCTCAGCAGGCAGCTGGGATGTCTTGGTCTGTGTGAGCAAAGAGTTACAGCTGCTGCTCTACAGGGTGGTGCAGAGGGGGTTGTACCAGGGAAGATGAACTTTTAAAACCTAAGTCAACCGTATTCTTTCAAGGCTATCCATAATTAATTCTGAAAAAACAAAAAACATTTGAAGGATGTAATACAACTCCCAAGCTACCTGCAAAGAAAGTGCAATCTAGTGCAGTGTGCTTTCACTTTCCCACTCTGTTCCTCCCATTTCCGTCTGACTTCTTGTGCTTCAGTCTGTGTCCAGGTATTGCTGGTATCTGCTCTGTCTGTGAAAATGAAACACCAGGAGGAACTGCACTTGGTGCAACTGGTGCATGTTTAGGGGTTAATTCACAAATGGAGCAGGCTGCCCTGGGGAATTTGAGTTGGACCACGCACAATAAAAGTTTGAAGAGGAGTTGGCCTCTTCAAAAAAAAAAAAAAAAAAAAAAAAGCTAAAGGAAGAGCACAAGGGACTAGGAACGACTCATCTCAAACCTCCTATGTCCTCTTGGCTAGTGTTGTCATGCACAGGGGTGATGGGTGCCCAGGTAGGGCTGGCAGTCTGAAAAGTAGAGATTTGGAGCTTTGTTTCCATGCATCCTTGAAAAATACTTCTGCTACTGAATATGAAGGAACTGTAAGGCCACCCTTCAGCAGATGCTTCCCAGTGAGACCCAGGTCACTGTGCTCTGACTCTCTCATAAACTGAACTTTGCTGAGCCAGATGTGTTTGGGGTTTTTACAGGACTTAGATATGGCCTGGCGCTCCCTGTGGTTGACTTATGTCAACTTCTGGGGATATGTGACCTGCACAGGTAAATAACTGGGCATGCACTTTCTATGCCTCTGAGGCTAAGGAGAAGCACAGTGGAGATTATCAAGGTCCTTGGGTGTAAGTAAACATTAGATCTAAGTGAACAGAGCAGCAATCTGATGCCCAAATCCTTTGAGATGCCCAGCTCTAAGAGTTGGTCCAACTTCCTTTGGAGTTAATAGGAACTGCAAAGGGTCCTGCAAAGGCACCCCTGCGACTGATGGCACCAGAGAGACTTGGAAACATTTCAATCATGTTACAGCAGACTGTGTGTCTGCCTTTGACTGGACTCAGAAAAAGTACAGAGGAGGTATGTACAATTTCATATTACTTCACTGTAGTTGCCAGGCTGGAATAAGTAGTTTGAAAACAATTCACAGATTTACAGCTTAAACAGGATCCTAATCATAGCTGTAATATTTATCCTTTAAAAGAACTCACTGAAAATAAAAAGCCTCCTTAATTTGCAAATTTGTTACCATAAAAAATAAGAGTTCTTGAGCTCACAGAATGTTGATACATTTGAGCAAATTTTTATGAGCGAAATAATAAACAGGTAATTCTTGCTGTGGTTTGGGGCCCTAGCTGTTCAAACTCCTAAGCCCTCTGGGACAGAGCCTGTCTGCCCTGATTTATGTAATAGTTCTAATGAGTAATAGTCCTCATGATGACAAATGCACCAAGATACAACCCTAAGAGGTCGGGCTGCAAAAAAAAAAGCAGGGTACTATTCACTCTTTTGATAAACAAACACATAAATCATCATTGTAAGAGATTTACCTGGGGGGGTAATCCCAAGGGGCAATAACAAATTGTTTCATTCTTTTGGCTCTCTGCCTGTGCTGTTTCCCTTGCATCTCTGGAAGGCACCTGCCTGAACTGGGTCCTCCAGCAGTCAGAGTCTTCTCCAGACCATGACCTGTCCCTTTACATCCTGCCTAAATTTATCTTTCAGTGGGCTTCAAAAGGAGCCCCAAACACCTCCTCCTGCCTCCTTAAAGAGGATGACTGCACAGTCAGGCACTCTGACAGATGGACCTTGAGGAGTCTCTCTACCACCAAGAAAACTCCTGCCTCTTGAATGCAGCCCCGACCATATCACAGAATTTTAAGTGTGAGTCTGTGCCAGCTGGAAACACGTTACAATCATCACTGCTTGTTTCTGGCCAAACACATCTTGATAAAAGCTGTGACATTTACAGTGTGATACAGACCCATGTGTGATGGCTTATCTCCAGCTCTGATTCCTTTTGGTTAGGAAAAAGATACATTCAACACCATAATTCAGCTGGCAGGCTCCAGGTGCAAAACCTCCCATTTAAAGTTGGTTTTCCAAGGGTAAATTCCAAAACATTTTACACTTCTACAAATTTAAAAGAAAGCAAAAATGATGGCTACTCCAACCCCATGCAAAACAAAGTAAGTAAATAGAGTAAAATATCTATATAAAATTTCATGGAAATATTTTCTAACATTTCTAATATTCCTAATTTGTGTTCATCAGCTTGTTCAATTTATTCAGTGACCAACCTACTACTCATGTATCACCCTGAAACCAGAGCCTTCTGATTGTTTAGAATATTGTTCATTTTTCTTTTTTCTTTTTTAAAAGGAGAAAGGGTGAGATGTCGCCCTGGAAACTGAAGCCTTCCGATACTGTTTTCATAGTTTTAGTTACATTCACATGAAAGTAACATAAACCTAAGTTGTTTATCACATCCCTTCTAAGAAACATCTTTTGATGGACGTTTCTCATGACCAGTGTGATTGGGAAGGTGGTAACTTAATTATCCAATCTCTGGTCATTGTCGAGAATCTATAAATACTGGACTCAGAGAATAAAGGGACAGTTTTTTGTTCTGACACTGAGAGATGTTTGTGTGAATCATTTTGTGTCCTCTAGCGACACTCATGGTCTTGCCTACAATTTTCCAGTAAGTTTTCAAGAGAAGGCTTCTCAGAATATAAGCTTAAGGGTTTGTTTCTTGTTTGGAATCAGCAGAAGACGTTTTATTATCTTCACAGTGTAGTTGAGAGAATTTAGAGAAATGATCCAGATCTGTGTGTGAATTTTTGAATGAGGTTTGCAGCAAATCCTCTGCATCCACTTGTCATGCTAAACTACACACTCTAGACCAGATTTGCTTTTGGCTCTTCAGTGGTTTGGGCTAGCACAGGTTAAATATGGCTTAAGATGGTAGCAGCAACAGCCAAAGGCCAATTTATGACTTGGTATCAACATTTTGGGGGAAGCCAGCTTCTGGGAGAAGTCCAAAGCAATGCCCTTCTGTACAACCTGCACAGTAAAAATTGTGGGAAACAAATCCATGGTTGGAGCCCTCAAAGAACTGCAAGGAAATTATTTGCATGAATCTCTGCAACAACACTGCAGAAGTAAGAGATGCAAATTTAGGACAACAGAGAGCCTACATTCATTTTAGTGACTTATTTCAATGAGAAAGTAATGAAGTAAGCATTTTTGTGGTGATGCAAACATTTGACACCAGAGGTGCATACCGGCTTCTCTTGCATTAAACAAAGCCAGTTCTGAAGATGACAATTGCCTGTTTTCTGTTATTCAGTAGGTAGGAAAAGTTTTGTACACTTCAATGTGGTCCTTGATAATCCCCTGACTTTTAAGAGTTAGGTGGCAGGTGGTCTTTCAGACAAGCCTGGCTGAACTCCACCATTTGTAGGAGAGGAGTTCAGCCCATTCCATCCTCTGCCACTGAAGTCACTGGGATTACTGAAGTGAAGCACAGTCACCCTAAAGCTGGTGTGACGACAGTCACCTACGTGCATGTCATATAGAGGCCTGCTATGAGGAATTGCTGAAGAGCACTGAGTACAAGGCTCAGGACCACACCCAGACCTCAGCCTCAGACCTGTGAGATACTGGTTAGCCAAAACTTACCAAGTTTGAATCCAGAGCCCAGCTTGCCCGCTTCATGCCTTTTAACACAGAGTTTGGGTTCAGGCTCCGTTCTGAAGAAGAACATGTTGGTTTTGACACCATCCTTACCATACACACCATCCTTCTGTAATTGCACCAGATTCTGCATCAAAGACATCCAAGTATCATTTAAAACCCCCTTAGGGGAAAATTGTAACATAATGGTAAAGATCTCACTGCATATTAGAGAAAACTTATAAAACCCCCAGGAAGTAAAATGCTGAACACCCAATCAATACCAAGGCTGTCTCTGACATGTAAAACCTTCCAGTAGCTTACGTGGTAATTCCACCCTAACCACCATTTTATTTTTATTTAAGAAACAAAAGGAATTCCAAAAACTCTACCTAGAATCACTTGTTTCTGCCAAGCGGTTGTTCATGATGGCCAGAGCCCCCACCCCCGCAGAGAAACCGTTCTGTCTCGTATTGATACAGACATTCCTCGGGTAGCCATTGGCTGTCTCGGACAACTGCTTCTGCAAAATGGCCAGGGAGACTTTACTGGAGGCTGTGAGCTCCCTCATGGAGATCATCTCTCCAGAGAGCCTCCTGCCCTCGGTGTCACTGTCGTACTGTCCGTCAGTGTCCACGGCGACGTTGTGGCGGCGCAGGCGGGCTCCTGGGGTGATGGCGTTGCGACGGCTGAGGCGGGTACTGGATTTATGGCACTTTGGGCAACATCTGCATTCGAATTTTTTCAACACCCAGTTCAAAATTTGTTTGATTACAATTGAGATGACGTTAAAAAGGGAGTATATGCAACATACCCCCATTAATATAAACATGAAGTTCCCGAATCTGTATAATCCCTGATGTTGGTACACAGCCTTTTGGCTGCTTACCAAATCTCCAAAGCCAATGGTGCTGAAGGTGACAAAGCAATAATACAAGGAGTCAATGTAGTTCCACCCTTCCACTGCCGTGTACATGGCGGAGGCGCAGCAGGAAAGGGCAATAGCAAAAATTCCCAGGATCAGCATCACGTGGTAAACAGACGGCTTCCAGCCCACAAGGCTGCCCACCCCAGACACCGCTGGCCCCCTTCGGAAGTTGGGAGGTAGGAGACCACTTCTTCGCAGCTGTCTCTCGTAGCACGCCTTCATGATAAATGCCAGGAGGGAGATGATGCGCTCCAAGAAGAGGTTGAAGAAGAGGATAGTCCCGGCACACCCAAAAAGGCCATAAATGATGAGGAATACTTTTCCAGCCACGGTTGCTGGTGTGGTCATTCCAAAACCTACGGTGTGGAGATAAATGGGCAACGTTAGTAACACAGGTTTTTGTGAGTAAGCTCAGGATATATGTACCTTAACAAGGCTCCCATCTCGCTGGACAAAGAGAGTGCTATCTCTAAGTCAGCTTAGGCCAACACGAAACCAAATTTCGTAAAGAGGGAAGAAGGCAACAAAAGTTCAATGGAATGACTAAACCTCAAAAGTGAGCAAAAAATCCTTGCAACATGAGAGGATTATTATCTGTATTGACAGAGCAACACCACTCAAAATGCAGGTGGAAGACTCACTGAGCCCAAATCCTTTTCGAGGTGGGATGAGGTGAAGAGGCCATTTCCCTGCTCCCATAAGTGTCAGCAATCATGATCTGATGCAAAATTTAAGTTCTCTGTTCACAAACTGTAACCCAGTGTAACATTTTTGTTATAGGGGTCTGATTATACCATTCCCAGCGAGAAGATGGAAGTTTTCAGTTTGTATAGCAGGAAAAAAAATCCACCTCCCAAATACTGAACGTTGTTTTAAAAATAACAGCACTTTTAAGTCTTTTCCAAATCCCAGCTGTGACCAGCCCACCTGGTATCATCACAGAGGGAAGGAAAAGCCATCACGCTGCAGAGCTGCCTGGCAGACTGGGGGCATTGGGAACTTGCAGATGGATCATTACAGAAGGGAGAAACACTGCTGCATAGATGAATAGAAAAATCAGAATATACAAACGCTGGGAAGATCCAGCAACAATATTAATTCAACTCTTCTTTATATGAATTACTTATTGTAATATTCCTTATTATTATAACATTATTCACACAGAAAGTTTTATAAGTAAGCAGTAATGCCTTGTAGCTAACAGATGGTTAAATAACAGCAAAATTGAACTTAAATTAGCATGAAAATAAATACAGTAAGTTTACTCCATGTGATTTGCTGATACCAGTTATCATATGAAAAGCACATATATTTCACATCCTATTCCAAGAAGATTCTTCTGAAACTCAGTTCTGAAGGTATTTGCTTTGTTCTGCTATTCTTCCCTGTAGAAACACTTGGTGACTCAGGCAAAAAACATATTGACAGGATTGACATGACTGTTTATGTCCCATGAATAAATAACCACATCTAATCTAAATTAAAGTTTTGTGGAAAATCCACATTCTGAAATTTCATTTCTGTATTGTTCCATCAAAATACTGAGCAAGCAACTTATTCAAGGAGGTAAATATCGACACCAGACTATATAAACAGAAATTTGAGAAAAAAAAGCATAGAGGATAATGAACTCATTACAGGGCATAATGAAATAATTAAATCCAGTTTAATTACCATGACACACCTTTATAAACAGCAATAGGATAATATTGCCTATATATAATGAGTTGAGATTGCTGCTTGAAATGTACTGATCTATTTTTGCAATGGCTGAATTTTTCTGGGTACTTTATTTGTGCTCCCTTCTTACTTTGTTGATAAAGAATTTCCCATTGCTTGATAGAAGAATGTAAATGCTCATGACAAGTAAACTCAGATGTATCTTTTCAGTGACATGAAGATGCATGAGAAGAGGTGGTCCTACTTTCACAACAGACTTGGCAGGCTCAGAAACAGCTGGGTGCCAGCAAGTCAGCTTATTCCTCATAACCTGAGTAACCTGCTCTACTGAGAGGTGTCCCTGCCCAGGTGAGTAGATGACCTTTCAAGTCTCTTCCAACTCAAACCATTCAATGATTTTATGATCATAAGCATCATTATAAAGAGTGTTTTCTGTAAAAGTCAGTGAAAAACTTGCACAGTGTTACCAGAAAATATTACCTAAGAGATCATTACATTTTGCTTTCTGGACCCACCATCTGTCCATTCTGCAGTGTTAACAAGACCACCTTTGAGCAGACCTCACGGAGCCTGCCACAGGCTCTGGGAAGCTCTCAGTTCCATCTTCTCTGTGGGGTGGACCTGTTCTCTGGGTTGGGCTGGATGCTAGCAGGAGTCTTCCCATTCATCATGATGAATATCCAAAAGTGCCTGGTCCTCAGAAGGAGCCTGTTGTGGTTGCCAGCTAGGGATACACAGCCAACTTGTTATGGAGAAGGCATCTGTTCGCCTGTGCCTTGTCAGCAAAACACTTAAAACATGTGCTTCACAGCAAGCATGTGAACATCACCATCAAAATAACTCGCTTTTTTGTCACACATACGGCTAGACACATTTATTAATTAGTTAAAAAAGAAAGAGATAGCGACAGTTTGGATCAAGCTGTAAATGCGCTGAAGCCTTTTAGTATTTTCTGGTGATCATTCAAGAGAGGTGGTGAAGTTTTATGTTTTTGATGCTGTTTGTTTGATCAAGATTTTTCTGAAGCAAAATGCTACCAAAATTCAGTATGTAGCTAGGCAAGGTGAAAGGGCCCATCACAGCAATGAGAATGCTAAGAAATACATAAAACAGGCGGCAAATGGATCCAGGCCATTTAGGTTGGAAAAGACCTTTAAGACCATTGAGTCCAACTGTTACCCCAGCACTGCCAAGCCACTGAAACACATCCTGTGCAGGGTTTTCCTCTGCCAGCTGTGTTTGTCCCTTGGTGTCACCCCAACCACGAGGAGTTGGTCCTGGTACGTTCTGTACCTCACCTCTGAGCTCAGCCCCCGCCCAAGGCTGAGAACACCATGATGCCTGGATGAAGCAAACTCATCCAGAACTGCCGATGCTTCCAACACAGTACAAGGGAAAAGCACATCAGGGCTTTGTGTTTTTCATGGCCCCGAGATATATTTTACAGGTGCCTTGGGGTTGACTTTGTGTGGCTCAGATGCAATACCCGAACCTCCCTCACGCAAATTCTGCCCCACCACTTCAGATACAAGCTCTATGGCAGCATTAATTTCAGCTGGTTGATATTTCTCCTCCCCAAAGAGAATTAGTAGAGATGAGCTGATAAAAACTGTCTTCAGCAGCCTCTCATGGTTACGTGCTGGCATTTAGTGAGACCTTCATCCTGACTTGCATAAAAGGTTTGTGGTTACAATTCTGCTCATCTGGAGTTTTAAATTACTTAAGCTAGGGATGGATTCGAGAGGTAGAACAGATGGACAAACTTGTGACATATGCTTCCTGTTGCTCTTGCTTTCTTTTCTTTTACCCACTTTCTTATGAGTAAGAGGTGGTTGATGCCAGAAGACAGAAAGGAATAGCAGCTTTAGTACTTGTGAGCTCTTCTCTCAGTCAAATCACTTTGGCAATTACCTTCTCTTACTATATTTTGAGATTAAAGGGGATGACAGTTTTGCAGAAAATATGTATTTACCCAGAGACGCAATAATCTTGGTCACCTCAAAAACTGAACACAAGAAAGTCACAAAATATCACACAAGAAATGTGTCCCTGCCTCTTTCAGCCACCTTACTTCAGCCTCTTCTTACGCAGGTGTCCTGCCACAGGACTTCACTCACACAGCAGGTCAGCACACTGGAGCAATCATTTGAAATCCCAGAGTGAAACAGCACTTGGATCATCAAAGAAGCATCACCTCTATACAACTATGTAACCATCATGTATTTAAGAAAATCAAAATAAGCTAAAATGGTTGAAAGTAACTTTTTAAACAAATGGTTCCTTGGAGATAAATGACAGAAACAACTATAATCAGAATGCTGCTTCCAGAGGGAAAGAAGTTCTTGCATCATAAAGGCTAAGAGATGGGGGTTACAAAGAAACAGAGAGAGAAACAAAGAGCTACCAATTTTCATGTTTTCCTCCTTCCTGTCTTTTCTGCACTTGCTTTACTTCATAGCTCTCCAATAGGCGTGGTTGGTCTTCACTGACTAACACATAAACCATACATCCTAGTCTGAATCCCATGCTTGGGTTCTGGTGCTTCCTTCCACCCTTTCCCACCTGTTAGCATTTCATCATTATTTCCCCTGAGAGCCATACCTGTGTATTTTACAACTGCCTCCCATTTATTCCCTAGCTTCTTACCACCTAACATCCAGAAACAGTTGCCTTGGATACAGGGTCACAGCTCGGAGCTGACAAAACTGCTGCATCCAGAGCTTTTACCCAAGGAGTGGGAATTCTACGAGTCAGTTCTTCCAACCAGCTCTGCATTTTCAGACTACAAATTAAAGACTTACTTTAACATCTTTCTCAACCTGCTTTAGTAAAATACCCCCCTTCAGGCTCATACAGTAAATTTTTTTAGAGCTTTTCTATTGCAAAGCCTTTAATATAAAAGTTGCTGTAAAATCCCATTTGATCTTAGATTACTCTCTGCAAACACCTCCTGAACAGCAGCGGTCTGTCCAGCACTGTGTGAATTAAGACCCCTTAAGTTGGACCCATCCTATTTCTGAATAAATGAGATACAACTGCAGTTTTAGGGCTGGCCTAACCTGTATCATACACCAGCTTGCAGTCTTTGGTGACCCATGTACTGGGGCAGATATTCCACAGAGAAAATGCTGAGTGACCATGCAAATAAGGACTGATTGCCACAATCTATCCATTCATCCAAGAGCACCATCATAAATGAAATGAAAGTAGTTAAAAACCACCCATGTCTCTGCTGGTACTCTTTGTTTCATTTCCACCTGTGAAACATTAATCAGGCGTTTGAGACAACTGCTACTCAAAAGGAGCCACGCTGGCAGAACAGAGCCAGATGATTAATTGAACTTTAAGGAGTTTCAAAGAGCTGCAGGTGATTATTACAGGCTTTCTACAGGACCAGTTTTATTCTATTTACACACAACAGTGATCAGGTTATTGGTTATCCAAAGTGCTGTGATGCCTGACATCAGTGAACACCAGAATCAACCACCCTTGGCATTTCTCTGCCGGCCATGCTTTAAACCACAGGCTAAAAGGTCATGGTCATTCATTCCTCTTTAATGTATGTTGGTTTTAAAAAGAGTTAATAGAATTGTAAGCTTAAAATAAGACAAGCTTCCCTTAGGGAAAAAAAAAAATTCAATTTGTACCAATTACATTAAATAATCAAAAGGTGAAT